AAAATCCTCCCATTAAGCTTTCAAATTACAAAATGACTTCATCCAAGGGAAGACAAAATCTACACCTACAAGCATTGCCTCGCAAGAACTGCACTTGCACAACGGGAGATGATCCAGGACTTTCACTGCAGCTTTTAATACTGATGCAGCTTACAACCACCTCACTGTTCGTGAACACCATTCCTTGTTATCGTTGGTCTGCTTTGAAACTTGGCAGCCTGGCTTTTTCCTCATTGCAGGTCTTCAGTCAGAGGAAAGCAAGAACTGGGGAAGAACCAAGCAGCAAGAAGGCCAGCAGGTACCAGTGACAACTGAATTTCACCTGAGTGCAGAAGGAAGCTTCTTGCGAGAAACAAAATTTGCACCTCTGTCGGGATATTGGCTACTCTAGGAAGGGCCTTTTTTCCACTTTTTGCTTCACCAAAAATCTTTTTGGCCAAGACGGTTTTCTCCTGATGCAGAAATGAGGAAGTATTGGGAATTTAACATTACTGCCCCTGTACTTCAAGGTCACGCCTGCAACAGTTCTGCCAGCTGTGAATGTCAGTGAGAGATGAGCTGCCTTTCACCAGTTTACACACTCTACCTATTTATTCAGGGATTATATTTTCTTCTTTTTGTTAATGTTTAAAACGTTAGAATTCCCTCCTACAAGCTATAAGAGGGAACAGGGCAAACTTCCAGTGGTATTAAATAAGGCTTCTCTCAATTTCAATACAAAAAGTTTGCTCCACTGGTACGTTCATCCACAGAAACGTTAACACCTTAAACTTCATAGACACCAATAAATTATTTTTGTAAACAGCAAATTACTAAACAGAATCACAGAATCATAGAATGTTCAGAGTTGGAAGGGAGCTCTGTGGGTCATCTAGTCCAACCCCCCTGCCAAAGCAGGCTCACCCATCCTCAGCTGTGAGTCTGTCATTGCCAAGGGACGGGGTGGGGGTGGCGCTTTGTCTCCAGGATTCATCTTTAGCGTCCAAAGTTTTATTTTAGGCTGTAAAGCCTTCTTTTTAGGACCCAAAGCCTCATTGTTAGGGTACAAACCCTCATTTCTAAGTTCCAAACCCACCTTTTAAGGTTCAAAGACTCATCTTAAGGGTCCAAAGCATCATTTTGAAGGTACAGAGCCTCCGTTTCAGAGTCCAAAGCATTGTTTATAGAGTCCAAAGTCTCCATTTGAGGTCTCAACCCTCATTTTTAGCTTCCAAAGCCTCCTTGTAGAATCGAAACTGCTCCTTTAGAGTAAGAATCTTGTTTAATGTGCCAAGCCTCATTCTGAGGGTCTGATGTCCCATGTTTAGAGTGCACAGCCCTAATTTTAACAAAGCAAAGCATCACTTGAGTGCTTAAAACCTACTTTCAGGGTTCAAAGCCTCAATTTCATTTCTAAAGCCCCATTTTCAGGGCCCAAAGCCCTATTCTTAAGGCCCAAAGCACCCTTTGGAGGGTCCAAACTCTCCTTTGGAGGGTCCCAAGCCTTTTTTAACAGCTCAAAACCTCCACTGGAGTGCCCAGAGCCCTCTGTTCTGGACCGAAGCTCCATTTCTGGGGGCCACAAAAGAACCAAGAGATTCCCCTTCTTTTTCAGGGTCTAAAGCATCCTTTGTAGCATCTAACCCATGCTTTTCCCTGCCCAAAGCCCCATTTTTAGGGCTGAAATCCTCATTTATGGGGTCAAACCTCTCTTTCATTGCCCATAGGCTTCTTTTAGGGCCCAGAGTTTAATTTTCAGAGAATCATAGAATCATAGAATGCTTAGGGTTGGAAGGGAGCTTCAGAGGTCATGTAGACCAGACCCCCTGCAGTGAGTAGCGATATCTTGAAAGAGCATTTGGACCCTCCATTTTTTTAGGGTCGAAATGCTCATTTTTCAGGCAGAGCCTCCTTTTAGGCTCCAGAGCTACACTTCTACTGTCCAAAGCCTCACTTTTACTTTCCAAAGTCTTAGCTTTAGCTTCCAAAGTCTCCTTCTCATAGTCCAAAGACTCAGCTGTAGTTTGCAAAGTCTCCTTTTTTAGAGCCCAAAGCCACGTTATTAGTGTCTAACACCTCCTTTTCAGCCTCTAAAGCCTCATTTTTAGGATCCAGCCTGTCTTTTTAAGGGTCCAAGCTGCACTTTCAGCGTCCAAACCCTCATTTTGATTACCCAAACCCCTCTTTTAGGTGACAGAGCCAAATTTTCAGGTCCCAGAGCCTCATTTTAGGGTCCAAGCCCTCCTTCCTCTGTTCCAAGCCCTGCATTTCAAGGTTCAAGACCTCATCTGAAGGGCCCAGAGTGTCGGTTTGATGGCTTAAAGTCTTGCTGTGAAGGTCCAAATCCTCCGTTTTAGAGCCCAAAGCCTTTTTTAGAGAGTCCACAGTCTCCTTTTCAGACCACAACCCTCATGTGTATCTTCCAGAGTTTCATTTTCAGGGAAATGTTTGGATTCACAAAATCCAAGCCTATTGGTGAAGCTGTTACTCACACGAGTCGTTCCACGTCGTGGCCATTGCTCCTCTCAGGAATGGAGGGGAAAGCTCTAAATGACAAAGGATGTCAGAACATGCTCCAGAAAGAGACAACCAGTGCAAATCCCGTCACCTAATCGCAAAGAAATATTTCTAGCTCACTGAAATTGATTTGCTATGCCCAAGACGGCCTCCCACCATCACATCACCCACAAGTCCTTCCCTGTTCACAAAGAACAGGTCCAGCAGGGCCCCTTCCCTCATTGGCTGGCTCACCAGGTGTGTCAGGAAGTTCTCCTTCACACCGTCCAGGAACCTCCTGGACTGTTTCCTCTCCACTGTACTGCATTTCCAACAGACATCTTGTAAAGTTGAGGTCCCTCATTAGAAAAAGGGCTAGCAATCACAACATAACTCCCAGCTGCTTATAGCTTTGTGTGTGTCTTCATCCCAGCTGGGTGGTCTACAACAGGCTCCCACCATGATATCTGCATTGGTGGCCTTTCCCCTGATTCTTACCCATGAACACTCAACCTTTTTATCACTGTCAAGCTCTAGACAGTCAAAGCACTCCCTAACACACAGGGCTACCCCACCGCCTCTCCTTCCTTGTCTATCCCTTCTGAAGAGTTTATAGCCATCCGTTGAATCTGTGACTCTACGATTCTATGATAACAACAGGTAGCTCCTCCTGCCCAGGTCGCGGCTGCCCAGAAATCAAGGCCCCCCCCATCAGGTGCAGCCAAGGGGCGCAGCGCGGCACTGTGAGGAGAGGCCCAGGCTCATTTGTGCCTTTCCCCCCACCCAAGCTGTGCTGCTGGCTCTTGGGAAATGGGGGTAGCGAGGGCAGATGGTTTTACCACAGCGGGAAGTTCCAGTCAACCTGTCAGGGATGTTTTTCTTCCTCGTTCTGGCAGATACATGTTTTAAAACCGTCAAGCAAAGAAGTTTTCCAAGGGAAGTGCAGGGTTGGGGTCTGCTTGCTCTCTGTGTGGATTGTGTCTGTCCTCAGCCAGGCGCACAGCAGCTTTCAGAAAAGGAATGGGACTCGTCCAGGGTGAAGTGAGCCATCAGGATCCCAAGTCTGTTTTGTTTAAGGCAGTCAGGTGAAAATGTGCAGTTAGAGCTGGCTGTGTTGTTTCCTCTATGATTTCAGTGCGCTCCTCTAGTTCAAATCTTATTTTGGCTGAGGCATAAAAATTAAATAGAGAAATCTTCCTCACTCGCACACAGAGCATTCCCTCATCTCATGGTAAACAAGCAAAATCTCTGGGAGTATGGTGTTTCATTAACATGTGTCAGACATCCAGTGTCAAGGGAGTGGTACAGTGAATGGTGGATTTCAAAAGTGGCTACAGGTGCATGGGGCTTGATCACAGTCACCTGGAAGGGGGGAAAGAAAAAACAACAAGGAGACCATCCAGCTCAGTCGCTTGCCCCGTGCCTGGCACACTCAGCTCCCAGGACTGCCAGAGCCCTCGGTACTGGAGCTGCACCTGGCTGGTGCTGGAGGTGGTCATGCCGTGGTGGGAGGGGTGGCTAGGGGATCCCCATGGGTAGTGGAAGAGCACGGCAAAGTCCCAGGACACTATGGGGAGACCCCTGCTCTGGGGTCTGTCCCAGCATGACTCTGTTGTCCCCAGCTCGGGAAGATCTGAGAGGGCCCCCACAGCTGGCGGTCCCCAACCTCAGTGTCACCCACATCTGATCTCACCAACCACTAGGGTGCTGTCAGGAAAAAAACCAAAAAGATACTCTCCCCTTTAGGCATCTTGTGATGAGCTTTATTTAATTAATTCCTTGGCGCCGGCTGGGGCCAGGTGTCATCATGGAAGGCCTCCTCTAGTGCCTGCCTCGCATGGAGGTCCCTGTCGTCCTGCAGCCCTGAGAGAGCTGGAATGACACAGGCAGCACCGTGGGGACCTCATCCCGGCCAGGCGCTCCCCGGGCCGCCTCGCTCCGGGGATCTTCACACAAAAAAAGACATCCCAAGCAGCTGTATCTCAGTAAAACCCCTCTGAACCCTTCCTTCCCCACCTCCTGCCTTACCTCAGCAAAGAAAGCTATAGCTGTCACCCGCAGCTTAACTGAGCAGGAATCCAGCCATGGTGAGAGGTTCTTCACCAGACTGGGGGAGATGAGCCCAGCGCTGAGCAGGACGCTGCGCAAGGGACACAAGCAAGGGACACACAGTTACCAAGGAAGGCCACAGGCTGGGTCTCCAAAATTAACTTGCACCAATGCAGACGCTGTTCTTCAGCTCAGGATGGCTTCCCAGGCACATCAGAAGGGTCCCAGCAGCCATTTCCCTGGGCACAGCCCCACAGGAGGCAGCCAGATGCATCCCTGGGGCTCTTACCTGGTCAGGAGACCCACCCCCTCAGGGTGAGCCAGGGGGTCTTCCAGGCGAGCCCACACTGCCCGATTCACGAGCAGCTGCATCCATTTCCATGCCATGCATTTGCCTAGCACCAACTCTATAGCTGAAAGGAAAATCCTGGAAGAAGAAACAAAGCACAGAATAAACAAACACAAAAAACCAAACCAAATCAAAGTAACACCACCACCACAAACCCAAAGAAATCTCAAATCACAGTACATTAGGAGAAGACTTGTTTTTAGCAGAGCTAAATACCCCAGAAATGATGCTTCACAACCTTCCAGACTGCAGCTAATGACACCGGCATTTTCGTCATGCCCCACATCCACTGAAGCAGAGGAAAACCCACGCCCTTAGACTGACTCCATGCTAGATATCCAAGGCAACACCCAATTCCTCTTCCCACCAGCATTTTGCAAAGAATGACACCAGTGCCCGTGAAAGTCACTGCTCCCACCAGGGGCCTGTTGAGGGACTGCAGTGCTATTGTGTATGCAAGGGTATGCAGGAGGCAAGATGACAGCCGTCTGCAGTACGACCTTCCTGCCTGGGAGCTGGAGTTTCTCTGTGCAGGAGCAGAAGTAAAACCAACCATGATGACCTAAATTTCCACATTTAGGAAGTGGGGCAGGCAAAGCACTCCCTCAGCTCCACAAAAGCACATGCCATGATGAGGAGAACTGAAGCCAGCCCCTCCATCTGACCCTTCGGCTCCCTACCTGCACGGTTTCTTCTCGAGCATCTGGCCCTCAAGGTACAGTTGTCTCCAGCAGGAAACCAGCCTCTCCTCGCCCAGCGTTTCACTGGCCCACCTCAGGAGGCTGGGAAGGAGGTGGGGAAGCAGCTTCCTGAGCTCTTCAGTGCTCTTCAGGGCAAGCACCACCTTGCAGATGGCATGGGTGATCTGCAGAGAAACATGACCAAGAACCACGTGTTCAGGGACGGCCTTTTCCCACCAGCCTGGTTTTCCCACCTGCCTAGGGCAGGGGATTACTGTCCACAGTTGTGGCTTTTGCGAGAGCCTTGAGGCTCAGGAGCAAAAAACTGTTCCGGCTCCCCACACTCCTCGAGGCCGGCCCAGCACAGTGCCCTGTGAGTGTCCACGGACATCCACAAAGGGCAGCTGACTCCCTCACACCAAAGTAGGAGTTAGAAAGCAGACACAAAGCTGCAGAAACACGTTTGCCATTGAACGTACCGTCAGAGTCTCCAGAGAGGTCTGACGGTTGAGCTGCTCACAAGCGGAGGAGACAGTCTGCAGGTGGTTGTTTCCTGCTCTGTTTAGTTTCTCCACTAAGCACCTCAGGATCTTAATCCCAAAGATGCTTCTCCCCAGGCTGCTCCACAGCTCCACCATGTCACTGCAAGGGAAGAGACGTTCACCCCTGAGCCCATATCCTCGCAGTCCTGCAGTGCCCTCAAACCTCCTCATCTGCAGCGCAAGCAAGCTGCAGGCTCTCTGTTTGACTAGGGTGGGGAAGTGGGTAGTGCACCTACCTGTCCACGGGCAGACCTTTCCGGAGGAGACTGCTGATCACGGGCTGCTGGTGAAAGCGGGCGAGGATACACACCGCACAGGGGACAAAGGTCCTGTAGGTGCTCTGCTGCATGTAGTTGCAAAGGGTGTTCAGGATTTTTGGCACCTGAATGGAAGAAGAGCAGAAGGAAGGGCTCAGTGCATCCTATACACCCTCCTGCAGGGCCCAGACACGGTCCTTCAGCAGACGCGTGGTGCCCGCTCCCTTGACACAGGGTCCAGATCTAGCTCGAAACCTCACTGCTTCTACCCTGCCTGACCCTGGCTCACATCTGGAGCTGAGTCTGCTCTTGGCAACTGTGCGCACGCATACATGCTCTCACACACATGTGGGCATGCACACACGCAGACGCACAGCCTCAGTCGCTGCGTACGCCTGGGCCCAACTGTATGAGCAGCTGCGTGCCCTGTGTGCACACGGAGGACACGGATACTTTTCACACCCAACACTTGAATAATTCCTCTCCCCATGTGTCTGTAGCAATGCAAGAGCGAAAACAAACATGCTTTTCTAGATGATGAAGATGCCTTGCAGGGCCTCTGCAAGGCCAGGTGACTCCTTCCAGAGGAACCCAGTTCTCCAGGGACACTTTTCCTTGCTTCTACCGCCAGCTTCCAATAGCACCAACCCCTTCCCCACACAGAGGACCTTCCCCCGAAGGAAAGGGTGTTTGTTTGAGCCTTTCACAGCTCAAAGCCGTGGACATGGTAAGGAGAAAGAGGCAGCCAGGTCCCTTGTCCCATGGAAGATTCCAGCTTCTCCCGCGGCTGCCTGCCTCTGGCGCATGGAGCAGACGCAACCTGCTCTGCGCCTGGGGAAGCAGCAAGGGTTGACCCCACAGCCCACAAACGCAGGATGCCCACTGCCCGGAGCACCCACGGGCTCTGCAGGGACGGCAGAGGGACATCCTGCCCTGGCTGTGACAGCAACAGCCTAACAGCTGGGTGAGCTTGAGCCCAGCTGGGTGCGATCCTGTGGGCTGCCACCCACGGTTGCCATCACCGAGACTGACCTCTGTTGCGTAAGACAGTCACTGAGTTAGTCTGGGCTGCGTGACTCACTGGTGGCTCTAGAGCTCAAGTGGAGTGCAGCAGAACATGAGCGGAAGATGAGAACAGGAGCCTTGAAAGGGCAGGCACAGCACAAGGCCAGAGGCTCCCAGGCTACAAACAGACAGCAACTGGCGCCTAAAGAAAGGACACCTTGCAGGATGGGTAACAGTCGGGGAAAGCAATGAGAGCAAGGAACAAGCATCCGACCTGTGGAAAACCTAGCGTGCCCAGCAAAACTCAGAGTAGAGGCAACTGGGGACCAGGGAAAAAAAGAGCAGGGTGAAATGGTCCCCAGGGCAGGAAGGACTGACAGTGACCCCAGAGGAAGGGAGGAATGGCAAGGTTGGTGCCTCCCGGTCCCTCACTCATGGGAGGGACCTGGACCAGCAGGAGACTTTGGACAAAAAGTGCCCATATCCTTGTCACCAGCTGCAGCAGATGCCAGCAGCAGATGCTAATGCACGACTTGGACCGTCAGTACCCCTGAGCTCAGCACACAGGAGGCGTTTCTTGAGCCCATGCCAACTGCATAGGGTGTAGGGCAACAGCCAACAGGAGAAAAGACCACGTCAAATGGAAAAAAAACGGTCTCCTTTACCTCCTTGAGTATTTCCTTTCTGCATTCCACCAGGAAGACGAACACCCACTTCCACACCGCTCTTGCACTTGTGGGTGTGACATGCAGAAAGCTCTCCAGCACAGCAGTCAGGAAGTCCATAGCCTGTGCTGGGGGGATGCATTTGCAAACAGCCTGGAGGGAAATCAGGAACAGGACAGACCGCGTCACAGCTCTGCTCCAGCAATTTGGAAAGGAAAGGAAACTTGACAGGACTGTTAGTTCAGCAGTCATGAGGGGGACAATCACTTGACCTTCCTGCTGTGCATACAGTGCTGTTTATGTGTGAGGCAGCTAAATGATTTGAAAGTGTCTCCCCCGTGTTGTTTGCTCATACACCAACTTTGTATTCTGACAAGAGCACTCACACTCACACATGTGCGTGCAAACACACACATCATGGTATCTGCTCCAGCACGTCTAAAAGACAGCCTCGTTTCAATGTCTCCTGCTAAATGCTCACAACAGTCATCCTGGACAGCTTGATTTGCAGACAGCAAGAGACTCTGGAGGGGAGCAGGGAGACGTGCAGGAGTCCAGGAGCTGGGTGGGCCCCCATGCCACTGTTTTGGGGCCAGTTACCTTTGCTATCTTGGTACAGGTGTTCGCCAGAGTCTCGGTGTCTGGGCTGTTCAGCTTCTCACAGAGGCACCTGATCTCATCTGCCTGAGGCACCACCTTCATGGTCTTGGCTGCAACAACCACCAGGAGAAATGAGGAGTCACATCTACAAAAACCCAGCCTCTGGCCCCACATACCCAAAGAGGAGAACCCAAGTGGTGACAGTGAAGACACCAGGGAAACCCAGGGCCCTCCTGTACTCGGTGCAGCAGGATTTCCTGAGCCCGATAAATGACTGACAAATCCTGAGCTGGAAAGAGCCTTCTTCCTCCTTGAACCATTTGCTGGGGCTTGAGGGTTTCAGCAGTCCCTGCTCCTAGCAGCTGCCTCCCCTGTTCCCGCACAGGCCACCTTTGTCTCTGGGAGGCAGGAAATGTCCCCGTGAGTTCCTCAGCACAGGCAGACCCTGATGCCTGAAGAAGAAAGGGTTCGAACACAACCCTTTGCAGCGTGCCCCGTGCCTGCAGCCCCGTTTGCTCTGGGTAATAAGTTGGTTTCCTCTTGTGCCCGGCAGGAGATTTCTTCCCTGGCAGGGATGAGTTTGCAGACTGCCTGGGCAGCTGCCTGTCTCTCCAGGCTCAAGGCAGGGGGGAAGGAACCCTCTGAAATGTCAGGGACCTCAGCTGAGCAAGTTGTCGGACCACCCTCTGTCTCTCCTGGCACGTGGAGGTGGACAGACGTGGAGGGGGACAGTCCCCAGCAGTGGTGACAGTGCCCTGCTTTCAGACAGCTGTGAGGGATGGCCCTGACCACCCAACCTCACACGTGCCCCAGGAAGGTTGGACTCAATGACCCTCTCCCAGGGATCCTTCCTGAGCTGGCTGGAGAGGCAGAGGGCTAACAGGGTGGGGACACAAAACCAGCCAAGCAGGTTGCCTCCCTTCCCTCCTGGGGACAGGGTCTGGCCCCATGGGACCCCGGTGATGCCAGGACAGGAAGGGAGGGAGGATGAGGCTGAGCAAGGCTGGGAAGCGCCCGATCTTCTCACCTTGCATTTGCAGAAGGTAGCCGAGGCAGAGCCAGACTCTCTGGTGGGACGTGCGCATGCTATTGCAGGACAAACACCCCAGCAGTCCCACCAGGGAGCCGAACTGCTTGCAAGGACGTCCTCTCTGCAGGGGAGAGCAGCAGAAAGAGGGTCACAGGCAGCCCCAACAGCCCACCTCCACCCATCCTGCTCCCCAAGAGGGTCACAGGCAGCCCCAACAGCCCACCTCCCCCCATCCTGCTCCCCGAGCAGCCATCGGGCAGAGGCAGGCAGAAGGGCTGCCCCATAATCCCAGAAGCCCGAAACCCAGCCCACAGCCAGGCAGGGCACCCTTCCCGGGCCATGAATGGTGGGAAAGGCGGAACCAGGGCACACAGGGGGTCCCTACTCACCATGAGCTCAAATCGCTCCTTGCAAGATCCCAGCACATGGGCGCAAACCCGCAGGGCTCTCTCCCGCTCCCATTCTTTGGCTGAGGTGAGCCAGCCCTTCAGGACCTGTGGCAGGGTGCATCTCTCTCACAAGAGGCATCTTTTTCTCCCCGAGATCCCCCTGCCTCTTCCTCCTTCTCTGAGACCTTCCCAGTGTGGCCCCTGGCCCAGCCAAGCACTCGCACTGCAGCTTCCACCGCCTGGTTCCCTTCAGCTGGCTCTGCCCTGAGCCAGGTGTTGCTTCCCTGTTAGTGTCTCCCCACTCTGGCCTTCCCCCAGGCCATTCTCTCCCAGCTCAGGGCTGGCTTTTGGCTCTCCCTCCATCAGGGTCCGCTTCTCTGCCTGCCCTGAGGCTGCAGTGGCCAGGTGCTCCCATCCCCCAGCTCAGCCCCCGGTCCTGGCCAGACACAGAGCCTCAGAGCAAGGAGCCAAAGCCCCACTTTCCCATAGGAAAGGTATCCACCTCCCAACACCCACTAAGGCCTCAGTTCTCTGCCACCACAACACTCTCCCACTTGCCCCATGGCTACTCACATGGACCACGTCGTCGAGGCAGGTAGAGGTCCCCTCTGCCTCCAGAAGGGTTTCTATGAGATGGCTCAGCTCTTCCGTGCCTCTCCCGTGCAGAAGCTGAAAATAGGAAAGAAGAGCTGAGGTTCTGCGTCACGAGGGCTACCAGGGCACGCTGAGGTCGGATCCTGACCCAGAGGTGGGCAGGCAATGGCCGGTGGGTACCTGCATGTTCGCGGTTGCCCTCGCTGTCTTCCTTCCCTTGTCTATCTGCTGCTTGGAAGGATAGGACAGGACACTCTGGCAGCACACTGCCAGCAGGTTGCGATTTTCCTTCCTGCTCAGAGGTGGCCTCAGCTTGCTGGCCAGAGGAAAAAGGAAGAGAAAAGAGAAAGGGGATTTACGAGCCTTCTCCAGAGTGCCTTAAACCACAACTGAGTTCCTCCTCATCAAGGTCCCCAAATCCAGTGCCCCCAGCCCACGCCAGCAAGCACTGCCTTCAGCTCCAGCAATTCCTACCTCCTCCCAGGCAGCTGGCAAACCCCCACCCCCACGTTAAGGAACCCTGGGGCTCCCGTCCTTTGGGAGACACCTGAAATGGGAACACCCTCCCACTCCACAGCCCCAGTAGCTCCCGGCCCCATGCTCAAGGCCACTGGGGTTGCTCCAGCCAGCTGGGTTGGGGCACACTAAGAGTCCCCAGAGCCCAGGGAACAGACCTCACCTCAACTCCTCCAGGGCCTGAAACGCTCCGTACACCACGGAGTCCGAGGTCTCCGTCTTTATGCAGTCCTGCAAGTCCCAGAGAGACAAGCACAGAGTTGGCAGCGGGCAGGGGCACAGGACAGCCCTCCCGCCTCCCCTGGGGACAGGCTCTGCTGCCAGGCCTGGGCAGACACCGCCCTGTCACCCCCCTGCATCCCCAAAGGCACCATAGGAGGGACCCTGCTCTTCAGCCACAGCCGCCCAGTACCAGTACACAAGGGCCCCACCAGCTCGTGACACAGCTCCAGGAGCTCCCACGAAGCTGAGAGACCATTGTGTCTCTGGGGAGACCAGCCTGATGGCACAGCCTGAAACTTCCCTGTGTGACTGTCCCAGCTATAGGCACTCACCAGCAGGGTCCGTGTCGTCTTCTGCTTCAAGGAGAGCTCGAAGCTGCCGCAGTTGCCCACAGCCTGGATGGCGCAGCAGACCTCAGTGATGCTCTGCACCAGGGCAAGATTGAGCTGCCAGTCCTGAGGCAAAGAGAGCAAAGCACCACTTGAACTCCTTGAAGGGCTGAGAGGTAGAAGAGGAGCATGGGCAGCAGGCACCCACATGGATAATGGATCTGGACGTTGAGCGTAAACCCTTCCTTGGGAGTTCTTTAGGAAGAGATCGCCCATGTCAGCACACCCCAGCCTCGAGAGGCGGGAGCTGGGGCACCCAGCTATCCCTGCCCTGCATGCTCTGTGCTCCTACCCTCTGTTTCACTCTGGAGAGTCGCAGGATGTTGCCCATGATTTCTGCATCCACGCGGGTGAGCAGCTGCTCCTTGGGGGCATGCAGCGCGATGCCACTGTAGGTGCGCATGAGAACGGCACGAAGGGCCTGGGCTCTCTCTGTCTTCTGCCGCTGCTGTCCCTGTGTCAACAGAGATGCCCTGAGACTTCAGCCCCGGGACTCCCACGCGCTCCTGTGGCAGTCCCTGCTCCATACTCTCACCAGCTCCTTGTTTCCCTGGGCACCTCCCAGCAGCTCCCCACGCTGCTCCTTGAGCTATGAGCTCCTGGGCTGGGAGCTGTTCCCATCCCGCAGCTTGGGTTCTTGCACGGGGATGGGGAGGAGGTGCAGCCAGCATCGCACACACTGCTGGCTGCTTTACCACTGATTGGAGGGGTCAGGGAGCTGCCTGGAACCTCCCTGTGGACAGGTATCTGACATAGCCTGTCATGGTCCCGCTCAGAGACGCGCAGCCTGTGTGGGTCAGCGGCGCAGTGGGCCCGGTCTGCTCGCGTCCCCAGGCCAGGCTGCACCGCTCTCTCTGCGTGGCCCTGCCCTGCCCAGAAAGGCTTCCCCACAGCCCGAGGTGGGGAGCAGAGCAAGAGAGACCTCACCAGGCTCCCGCTCCCGGCCCTCAGCTGTGAGGAAGGGGCAGAGTGTCACACCGTGTGCCCCCCCCCTTGTCGCCAGCTCCGGTTGAAGTTAAGTCAGGGGTAAAGTGGCTGTAAGCAAGCAGCTGCTGCAGCTGCCCCAGCTGAGTGGCTCTGATCTACCACATATCAAACCTCGTCCTTTCCAAAGACACCTCAGGGGCTCCAAATGCCAGGACATCCCGTCTGAAACACAGGTCTCGGGCAGCTCTTACAAGAGGGCGAATCTAAAGGCAGCTGCCAGAGTTTGGCTGCTGCAGGTGTAGAAGTGGAAACAAGGCCAAAAAAGGAAAGCCAAACAGCAAAACCCTGGATGCTTTACCTTCTGGCCCGGGGAAGTCTGACAGAGCCAGTTTCTGGTTAAAGAGGCAGAGAACATAGTCACAGTGTCCAAGACCAGGTGGAAGTGGATCTCGGCAGTGTAGGACACAACAGAAATCATTCCCTGCAACCACAGAGAAACGAGGAGTTGTTTCCAGCCCAGGCACTCAGCCGTGGCCAGCAACAACAGCCAGGCAGGAGACCGCAGCAAGGGGGAAACGGCCTCCGTGGGGAGATCCAGGAGAGCTGGAGCAGCCCTCCCTCTCCCCCAGGAACAGGCAGGGCATGCTCAGGACAGGAGCATCACCTCACCTGGGCCTCAGACAGCTCCACAGGGTTTGTCTCCAGGAGGAACCTCAGCACCCCCCCCTGGACGTGTGACCCGGCAGTGCCGGGCAGCAGGTGAAGTTCGCCGCGGGGCCAGGCTGCAGCCAGGCACTGGGGCAGCCCGGGGGGAAGTGCTTTTTGGGGGCGAGAGAAGGGGAAGCAGTAAAAACAACGGGCACAGGGCAGGAGATCTACCTTCTGCCGGGAGTCGGGGACAGAGCTGCCCAGCTGCTGGCTCAGCTCCTTGCTCAGGGCCACGGTCCAAGGCTTGTCTTCAATGGGCTTCAGCGGTG